TCAGAAATATGCACAATTGGCGCGTATCTTTGGTATTCCACCTATGGCCTTCATATACTACTGCGTGCTGTACCAATATCCATGCTTACCTGGGTGCAGTGTTACATATGGAGTCAGGAAAACACAACTTGCATATACAAAAGTCGTCTAGATTTCATACCATGGTTGCTTCTTTGGCTGCGATAGCCCCTTACATACATACTAATGATGGCTGGCACATAAAGGGTTCGGATACATTTAATATTCAGGCAATTGTCTTTATTGCTTCCATTTGGATTGCGTCCCTCTCACTTTATGCTCTTGAATGTTGACACATGAAGGGCGGTGAACCCGCAAAAAAGGTTCCATGCACTTCGGAGTATTCAACATTGGACAGCAGGGGAAGGCAACCAGCAACAAAAACAATACGGATACATGCATCAGAGGCTGAAAAGCCAGGATTCTCTCGGGCCAAATCCGAAGGCGGAAGGTTAGGAAAGATAGTACTGAAGTAGAACCCAAATTTGACTAGCGTCACTGCAAACAGTGCTAACTTGGCATTATTCGATTGACTTATAAGGGATGCAAAAGTGGGGCGGGGGAGGGGGGGAGAGACACTAATTGTCACGCTAGAACTAGGTATGCTAATCAGTTGAAAGTGCTTGAGGCTGTTTGTATTCGTTTGAACAAGACTGATCTTAGTAAGCCGAAGAAACATGTAGTTGTGTTAGGATTGTTTTCGTAGGTGCACAGCATGATTGTTTGTCTCACTACACAGTTCTAGCGTTACAACTTATATGGGACAAGTGCAGTATCCATCTTCTGGTTTAACCTGCCTGGAAATTCAGCTTTTGTGTAGGTTTTCTAGGTCCTCATACCCGGTTCCACTACCCGATCGTCCCGGTATCTCTCCATCTCATTGTGTTCCCAGTATCACTGTCTTGCCAGGCAAACTTGCCTCGTTGTTATGCTTGTCAATGACGGGAAAGTGGAGTACAGATGCTCACCACATGCTCCTGCATAGCGCTGATGCTTTGGCCATGACACGCTGAATGAACAGAGTCTAAGCCGGTAGTTCTACGGGCGCTAGAGACGGCAGGCATATTTCAGCTTGACAATACAACTCGTTACAAGATGTTACACCGGGACTTTACTACTGTCTCGAAGACGATCAGACACAACAGGGAATCTGCGACCTCTCTCTTACCTGATACCGGGGCTGTGAAGGTGAGAAGTATGGCTGAAGAAAGGCACGAAACGGCCCACAGCGTCGCCATTAGCCCTTTCCCAAAGGTGCTCGCCCTTTTTTCGCCCTTTTTGGCCCTTTTTGGAAAAGCCCGTTTCTTTCGCCCTTCTTGCGTTTTTGGTGAATATCGCCCTTTTTTGAGCTTTTTTAGCTGAAAAAGTGCTAAAATCTGTTTGCTCATGCATGCGATCACAGTTTCCGAGTGCTCTATGGGCCTTGGCACGCCGCTTTTTTGGGGGGCAACAAGTAATTAGTTGGTGAAGCTTGTACCCGGTGTGCACAATGCTGTATAAAGTGGGTTTTTTTGAACTTTACTTCCTGTTTGCCTTTCGTGGACCAATAAATGGAAGAGTGCGTATTCATTTCTCAGCTTGGGTCCATATCTGAACATGTAGCATGGCTATGCTTCACTTAAAAAATAGCACTTTCTGCCTGTTTTCACTGAAAAAGAGCACTTTTTCAGGATATTTTGAGGGACGCGAAAAGCACTAAGTGCGAATTAAAAGAGCACCTTTGGGAAAGGGCTAGTCGCCATCGCAACAGATCGGCTTTGGCTGTCTCCTACTGATGCTCTCGTTCTCGTCCTGTTTTACTCGCAGACGTGTTCCAGCGTGCAGAACAAGGTTTATACTGTGCGATGGGCGGCGCCCTGAGAATGAATCGTGCCGAACTGGTTGAGCTTACATATGTCACAGGACTAAGCTCATCTGTCCTGGGCTGGGATACCCTAGCTGCGATTTTGTGTACATCAGCCGCCTCGGGTCTCGATAATCTCCGGAGTGACTGGTGTATGAAGTAAAGCGGGATACGAAGCAATGACTGGCCTGGACAAACCTATGTTTGAACTGCGTGTCAGATCAGCGCTTGCACCAGTTCGGAAAGATCCTCTCAGTATTAGTGCACTGAACACTTGCAATCTGATAAGCGCACTAGAAGTCGTTACTCGCGAAAACACTGTTCTTGACAGTACTATTGAGCTGCTCAACCACAACCAACTGTCAACAGACTCATATTGATGTTATTGACGATGATGAACCAGTACAATACAAATTACAATGACATAACATACAAGGCTTGCGGAGGGCCTATCTGTCATCGTGACTTGTCAAGGCCTGGTCTCGCCAGGATCTGTGTGTACATGTACTTGTACAGCACTTCAGAAAGCATACACTGTATGTGACTGATACACAGTGATATTCTGCATCTTTAGCTATCCTTGATGACGTGTGCTGTCGTTGGCGGTCGGTCGAAAAAGGTTGGGTTCAGAAGGCACCTGGGCTGAGCGCTGCCAACACCAGACTGCGTGAGTGAGAATGCAGACCGATGACAACCGTACCCAAATCACTAGAGCTAGTTCTTGACATGTACTTTGTACAATGTAAGCAGTGTTTGCGCTACTCACGGCCACGAAATCCCCTGGATGACAGAATATTTGAAGTACATGAGTTCGTGATAAGTAATGCACTGTGATTTCATGAGAACTGGTCCTTGACAGGTCCTCTCTCTAGAATGAAGTGTAAGTTGAAGACTCCACAGCAGCTGTACCTATGGTTGCTGCGTCTGGTGGTAAATACACACCTGGTCTCTCTCGACCCGTCTCAGGTCCTCTCTCGGTAATAAATAATTTCTGGGCTATCAAGAAAGTAATCTTGTAAGGCTGAGACTTATCTTGTAAAATAACTTGGAAATAAGAATGTACTCAGATGGAGAGCCAAGGTTTTATTGATATAAAAGAGAAAGACCAAGGAACTACAATTTACGCTATACTGTCCACTAACACCACCAGTTACTAAACAATCAGCTCATGCGATAACATTGCACGACACTGGCCGACGGTACTGACATTCTACAACTAACTGGCTAACAGCTCTATCACATCATGGATGCGCACTCCAACAGCCTTCCAACCCTTTTATTGATCTTCGCATATTTTGAGCCACACAAGTTGTGTGGAATGTGGTTTTGCGTTCCTGAATCGTGGTTTGACCGTATTGTCCAATGCCAATGTATTGTCCAATGGTCTTGCGAGTATCGTCATCGACATGCATGAACATCCGCCAACGTCCTTCACAGTTGAGATTTCAGCTCGTGCTTATCTTGGTTGCGCTCACCTTCCTCTCCTTATGTTATTTCTATAACTTAGAACCTTCCAAGTTGGAAGGCTGTTGGAGTGCGCATCTAAGATGTGCTAGAGCTGTTAGCCAGTTAGGTGTAGAACGTCAGTACCGTCGGTCAGTGTCGTGCAATGTTATCGCATGAGCTGATTGTTTAGTAGCTGGTGGTGTTAGTGGACATTATAGCGTAACTTGTACTTGTAGTTCCTTGGTCTTCCTCTTTGTATAAATAAGAATGTGATCAGCACTGATTCGTACATATATAGGGCGCCCTCGATACAACATAAATTTACTTCCGCTTTAAATCGTTGTTAACTCAAAGAGGAATAGTGATCACACATGCTCTTTTCCTGGACACTTCAAATTCACAACTTAGTTCACGACGTTTAGACAAAATTGACATCACCAGGATACGGTACGAAGTGAAAGTCTGCGAAGGAGCAGTTATTATACAACAACTTGGTGTCATTTACTTCCGAAGTAATACTTCAAAATAATTATAGGCAACGTGGACATATTAACCGTAGAATAGCTATGAACAAATATAAACTTGCTTTCATGTCCAACAACCAAGTAGCAAAGGGTTTGATCAAGAACGCCTTCTTCTCACATTCATTTATAGAAAAGAAAAGGACCAAGGAACTGCAAGTCACACTAATACCTAAGTAGAATGCCCACTAACACAACCAGCTACTAAACAATCAGTTGATGCGATACCGTTTTACGGAGGCGTTCGGTTTTTCATGATTCTTGCTCTCATGGCTTCCCCTTTAACTGATCTTCCCATCATTGGGCCCCCAAGTTGTGGAATTTGTTGCTTTGCGTCCTTGAATCATGGTTTGACTGCATTGTCCAACGGTCTTGTCATTGTCGTCAACGACATGCATGTATATCCACCAACTTCTTTCACAGCTGAGACTTTCAGCTCGTGCTCGTCTTGGTTGCGCTCACCTCCCCCTCCTATGTTGTCATAATAACTTAGAACCTTCCAAGTAGTTGGAAGGTTGTTGAAGTGCGCATCCAAGATGTGCTAGAGTTGATAGCCAGTTAGTTGTAGAACGTCAGTACCGTCGTTCAGTGTCCAGCAATGCCACCAGGATGCAGAGACCCACATGGACATTTATATAGTCATGGAAATAGCATTAGTCGCTTTGATTGTGCCCAATATATTAGGCAGTGACCACAGAGCATTTTCTGAGTTGCGTTGGATTGCGACAGGTCCTACAAGAATATATTGCACGTTTGGATATAGTCATGTATTAAAAGCCCGCGCACTTTAGGTAAAAGTTTGAATTTGACAAATACAGAACAAAACAGCCGCTGGTTGATATTTGCTGAAGAACAGACATGGAATGTTGGGAGACATTATCGACCTGTACTGAAGATAACGGCAGACACGCTTGCTAGCTTCGCTCTGTCATTGCATTGTACTGGTTCATCTGCGAAAATAACTGACACGAGTCTCTTGACAGTTGGCTGTGGTTGAGCAGCTCAGTACTACTGTCAACATCCGTATTTTCCAGAGTAACGACATCTAGTGCGCCTGTCAGTGTCAGATTGCAAGTGTTCATTTCACTTATACCGAGAGGAACTTTACGACCTGGTGTGAGCGCGGAGCTGATACGGAGTATCAGTTCAAACATGTGTTTGTCTAGGCCAGTCATTGCTTCGTATCCCGCTTTACTTCATACACCAGACTCCGGAGATTATCAAGACACCAGGCGGCTGATGCACTATGCACGAGCGTAGTTTGGAGGCCAGCCTAGCCCAGGACGGATAAGCGTAGTCCAGTAATATGTGCAAGCTCATTTAGCTCGGCACGATTTATTCTCAGGGCACGACCCGTGGAATAATGGTACAAACCGTGCTGTGCACGCTGGAACACGCCCCGGAGTAAAGCCAGAAGAGAAAGGGAGCATCCATTGGGGAGAGCAAACACCGATCTGTTGCGATGGCGACGCTGTGGGCCGTTTCGTGCCTTTCTTCAGCCATACTTCTCACCTTCACAGCCCAGGTATCAGGTAAGAGAGAGGCCCTTTTTTACCGACTCTTCGCAGATTTCCTGTAGCGTATGATCGTATTCGAGACAGTAGTAAAGTCCCGGTGTGAAATCTGGTAACGAGCGGCATTGTCAAGCTGAAATGTGCATGCCATCTCCAGTGCCCGTAGAACTACCGGATTGGACTTTGTTAATTCAGTGTGTTATGGCCAAAGCATCAGCGCACTGCAGGAGCACGTGTGAGCATCTGTAATCCACTTTTCCGTCATTGACAAGCAGAAGAACGAAGCAAGTTTGCTTGGCAAGACAGTGATACTGCTCACACAACGAGATGGAGAGATACCGGGACGATCAACTACATTAATAGTGGGACCGGTATGAGGACCTAGAAAACCTACACAAATGCTTAACGTTGAAATGACTTAACCCTGGCTCTGTGCATAAGAAAAGCACCAAGCCCACTGAAATGCATTGGCAACTGGGCTCAGGGATCTAACACATGCCCTCACGATATATGACGGTTGTTCATAGTTCCAAAGATCGCGTTTTTGCTCATGCTTGGGTACGTGGAGCATTATAAACAAGAGATCACTGCGACTTGAAACAAGATGATTAAACAGTTAAAAGCTGCTTCAGCTCTTGTGGCACTACTTGTTAAACAATACAACAATGAACAATCTGTGTGGGAAATCTCGCTGAAAACGTTTTATTAGCTCGTATCAGTCCATGGGAAAGTTCCCTGATTTGAATATTTACGGTTGGCTGGAGGCCGAGATTTCATCATCCTTAGGAACGCCACCACCCTCTGATCAAGGCGCTGATTTAAATGGAAGCATAGAGTTCAGTCAGAGTGCAATTTCCAAGTAAGTTAAACCAGAAGATGGATAATGCCCTTGTGCCTTAAAAGTTCACTGAATAATGCCAAGTAAACACTGTTTGCAGTGACGCTACCCAATTTGGGTTCTTCTATATTTCCTAGCCTTAGGATTTTGCCCGCGAGAGCCGTGGCCTATCAGCCTCTGATGTATATGTACTTCGAAGTATTGTTTATGTTACTGGTTCCCTTCCTCGGGTCTCCAGCGATCAATACATAGACCATTTTGGCGGGTTCATCGCCCTTCATGTGTCGACATTCGAGAGCATAAAGTGAGAGGGACGCAATCCCAATGGAAGCAATAAAGACAATTGCCTGAATAATGTGTGTTGACATTAAAACATCGCGACACGTTCGGAGCTTCTGTACCGAGATGAACCACATGAGCTACGATGCGTCGGGTTTGCAGAAAGCAGAACATGTTGCCCACAAACTCATGGGTAATCGATGAAATGAAATAAATTCAGTATCTGTAGCCTGTTTGTGCTTGTATACCTATCTCGTTATTAGGCCAATGTCCAGCGCCGAAGCTCAATAAGTTCTCCTACGGGGACATCCAGCCGGATGTTTCCGGCTCATTGTTCTCCGTTGGATCTATTATGAAGGTACAGTGCATACCAGGCTTCAAGTCGGTCGGTTTCACTACCTTCAACTGTCAGACCAACGGCAAATGGTCCCCGGTCGCCTTCCCGACTTGCACAAGTAAGAGCGCTCAACTAGCGTTCAATTATTTTTAAAATATAGCTGAACTCGGATGATGAGCCAATTTTATTATAGTAAAAAAGGGAAAGGACAAAATATCAATAAACTGTTGAACGGTACCTTTCGGCGGTTGAATGATACAAGAAACTAACTCTCCTCCTCCATGCGCTCTAAAGCCGACCATTGCTACCCTCCGTAGCCATTACTCACACCAATAACTTCAAACAACGATGGGGTCACGGGTAAAACATTTCCTTCTGACAGCTGTTTCGCCTATCGAAGGCTCGTCAGAGAAGGTGATACTGATATTGTAATTGACATGGTATAATAATCACACCGTATAAAATCAGTGTGCGATGTCAATTACAATATCAGTATCACCTTCTCTGACGAGCCTTCGATAGGCGAAATAGCTGTCAGAAGGAAATGTTTTACCCGTGACGCCTTCGTTGTTTGAAGATATTGGTGTGAGTAATGGCTACCGAGGGTAGCAATGGTCGGCTTTAGAGCGCATGGAGGAGGAGAGTTAGTTTCTTGTAAAGGACAAAAATGTTTCGAATTATGACTAACAGTCCACCAACATAACCTTGAAATAACTTTGAATGTCTCAGTACTTCATTTTCATATTTGTGCCATTTTGTCGCCCTCGCTGACTCAATAATCATCATCAGATTCTGGTTATGTTGGTGGACAGTTTGCCCTTCCCTTTTTTTTTTTACCATAATCAATTCATACTTTACAAACTTACAGAGACGCCCCGTTACCATGGTTACCAGCGCGGCAAACACCTCGTGAACACCAGATAGCAGGGTGACTCAGTCACGATCCCTCCTGGACAGTGAGAACCAGGAACTCCTGCAGCCCTGGGATCAGTGTCTGAGAACATGCATGATTGTAATAATTGAAATGGAAACGAACTTAGACGTTTTAGCACACCTCCATGAGCGATTTTGACTAAGGCTGCTACCGGTACCTGGGGCATCACGAGGTGTTTGCCTCGCTGGAAACGGAGCGTCTCTGCAAGTTTGTATCCCTGGTGATGGGTAGGCCTGGATCATGGAGAGCACTAGTATAAGTGGTGCTTTTCACGCATAATCTTCCTCAGCCTACTGAAGCTCAACTGATGAGGGGTGAATTCCCCGAAACACTGTGTATTGATTGGTGCTTTCTTGTAAGTTTGCTGAGTGGAAGGTGCGACGTGCTCCCTGTATACTCCGAATGGCAGTCGTGAGTCAGTCAAGTACATGATTGTATTATAGTTCGGCACGCAGCGTGTGTTCCACGTTGGAATAACGAACTTCATAATTTTTTTTTATGGAAACGCGGGGCTGACACGCGGCCACGACTGTACTTCAATCATGACAAAATTATGCAAGCGCTCGCCGTTGCGAGTGAACAGCTAGTGCGGCTCATCCGACACAGTCGGTTTTCATGCCGGAGGTCGAGTCAGTGTGTATGGAGGAGCATCGGCCAAAAAATCGTCGGAAATCATTTCCGAAGTTTCTTGGTTGATGGCCGTGATGAATAGGCGGCGGCCTGAGCAGATAAACTAACTAGTTACTTGAACTGCGAAACTCTTTTTACTGGTCCCTTGACTTTGGTGTCTGACAAAGAAGAAAGAGTAGGCCTTAGAGCGGTCCTTGGTCGCGAGATACCAACGGTAGGTCAGGCCACGCCGTGTGCGTTTCTAGTCGTATTTTTTTACTCCTGCGCCTTACTTTTCTGGGACAACATGTACATGTAGGTGTGTTTCTTGCAGAAGGTGGCTGCTCCACACGTTGGAGCTCGCGAATCCTGCCGTCTGACTATCACTCACGACTGCCGTCTGGAGAATACCAGAAGTCCATCGAACCTTCGTGTTCGACTCCACCAACCTCAGTTATCTGCAAGGAAGCACCACTCTCTGCTGAGTAAAGCTGTCAGTCAGTCGGCAGAAAGCGCGAACTCCAACGACGGTTACGTTTAGAGCAGCCGCTTGTTCGTACATTTACTGCCGAAGTCACATCTCAATTTAATGAATTGTAACGTTTCGATTAACTATTATAATACTGGTGAACACACACCCGGCGGCATGAGGGTATATGTACGATTTGAGTTAGAAGGAGCGTTCCTGACATGAATAGTATTCTTTACGATTATTCTGCGATAAAAAAATACGGGAGGGGAACTGGGTAAAGTACTAAACTCCATGACACTTTCTCTCTGTCTTGCGAAGTGGGTTGATTTGAGACCATGACTGAGGTACGAAAAGTACTGGTACCTGGTTCAAGTCCTGCCTGAGATTTGTTTTCAGCCATGCTGCTACCGATAGTCAACTGGGAACTTAGGGCCAGGTGCAAGGGGTACATTGGATGCAGCTAATGGGTTTTTTCGGCCCTGCTGCCAGTGGTGGTGAGACGTATCCCTTTACCCTACACTCCGGTGCTGCATCTGCCGATCCCTCGGGGAATGGCGATGATGATTTCTTTTCTTTTTTTATTGTGCCTTGCATTATTATAGTTCTGTTCTGCGGCAAACCATCTGGCACATTGACGGATGGCTCATATACCGGCGAATTCCAGTTCAACAGCACCATCACGTACACGTGTTATACAGGGTATACACTTATCGGAGCTGTAGAGCGGCGTTGCAGAGCAAACCAGACATGGAGTGGCACCACACCAACCTGCAAAAGTAAGCATTCAACAGTGTCGTTGTTGTCATTATCGAAGGCTGTAAACTAGGGGTCAGATGGGTGTACCGGATAACGAGGTACCCGCCCGTTAATCTCAGGTACCGTTAGTAAAGGGGTACCCGTTTTGATTTCGATGATACAGTCAGTACTGAACAACAGCGTTGGGACCGCGCATTCCAGGCGGGAGTCAATTATCTACAACTCTACGCTGCTTGTCTGCACTGTAGTCTGTGCAGTGTACTGTTGGATTTCGCACCTCTGCAACGCGCTTTAGCTGAGACAGAATGAGTACTTCAGAACCGGGGACATACCCTTTCTCTATCGCATTCCATACTTGCCAACCCTACCGGAATTTCCGGGAATCAAGGAAAACTCGCTTTCATCCCGGTATACCGGAAAAGTTATAACATCTACCGGATTTTCGAAAATGTCCGTCAACACCTTTGTTTGTTGATTTTCAGTGTTCTAGACGCTCGCTCGCAGTGCTGTGCCTAAAACGAAGGTGTAGCGAGCGAGAACTTTTGAGTTAGCGCATAAAAAGTACTTTTTGTCGTACATGTTGTACTATTTGCGTATTTTTTGTGGTCATGGCGACGTCACTATGATGTCATATACAATACTTTGCACAATTATGATGTAAAAATTGCAGATCAAGGAATAATGGGCAAAATCAAGGAAAACCGTCATCAGTGTCAAGGAAACTGTTTGCCAGGGGTTGGCAAGTATGGCATTCCCGTTTCGACTTTGTCAGACAAGAGCAGGCTGAAATGCAGTCGTTCTCTCCATTCTAGTGCCAGTCATAATACTCCAACTGGAGGTTTTTGATTGTGATGTGAGCAACAAAAAAGCAAGATGAAACGCGTTTGAGGCGCCAGCTGATTTGCTAGAAAGTTGCAATGGTTCTCGATCTCCGACATCAAACCTGCCCCAGCACTTGAAGATTAACTCGTGTCACCGGGCTGAGTGCCACACAGTGATGTCCGTAGGTGGTAGCTATGATAATCTTGGTTGTTGTTTGTTCATTCATTCGACGAGCTTGGTTTAGTTGAAAGATAGTTCGAAATATCGCAATAATATTTTGTGAAGATTCGCTTCACAATTTCATCGACCGGCTAGCACTAGCAGGTAGCTGGCCGGCAGTACATCAACAACGTAACGCATGGATGCTAATATCTTCTGAATGCGTTGAGTACCTGTTCTCTGCAAACATCGCTGCGAGCATATCGGATTCTGCGAGATCAAGGAACTAATACTTTGCTAAACTACTCGACATGGCTTCGATAGTTAATTTGCAGTTGATTTGTGCATGTGTATCAAAATAGCGCTAGGAGGACCTGAATGCGTTCACCCTTTCAAGTCATTGTAACTGCCTGTGAAGCCATGTGCAAGGACAAATGTACAAATGACATTCATTTGGAACTTTAGTACCATAATAATCTTCAAGGATCATAATAATCTTCAAGGATTATTATGAGACACAAGTCGATTTGGGAATTGATGTGATACCAAAAAGCACCCGTAGAATAGATAAATTTAAATCATGATTCATGTGAGGAATTTACTTCGAAGTACAAATAATATACATGGCTGCTAAAGTTAAGCCGCCCGTTAATTTTAAGAAAATTACCCGTTCGTTAGCTAAAGGTACACCCGTTTGACCGATATTGTAAACCAAAAAAACCGTTCGAGATCGATACTCTAGCTGGTTCCCCACGGTTGATATTCTGTACAAATCTTACAATTGGCTGTATACAAAACATCCCTGTGGTCTTAGAACATGCTTGTGCGTACACTTGCATTTTGTGCAAGTCATTTTATTCAGACTGTCGTCTAGTTTTGTCAACAGCCCGTGTTTGTCTGTATTTTTGACGGAAAAACGAAATATTGTCCGCAGTGCGGATTTCAATCGAATTATCCCGCAAAGGAAAAACATACGGTGTCTTCGAAAGCATTGAAAAATGATGCAGAGACGCCCATCCACATGTCCACGGTCAATCAATTCAAAATCGGATCGCAGAGTGCATGTAGCCTGCATGCAGTGCTCTGTTCATGCGCATGTACTACAGTACCAATCTGCCGCAACGGGTGTGTGCAGTCCTGAATGGGTCACTGAGCAAACTGCCCTGACCGCCGCCCTTTTGGTGTGACTTGCGCGCCGCAGTGGGCCCTTTCACAGAGCTTGTAGGGCGCACGAGCTCGCAGGTCCGATAGTTGCTTTCGATCGAACATTTTTCTTCGTTTTCAATGTCAGTTTTGGCCAGATCAACGAAGTGGGCAAGCTGTGTAGACAGGAAATGGTAGGGATTTAAATTATGACGGTGTGACAGTGTTTAGTCGTAAACATGGATTCTGACGAGGAACCTAGGCGAGAAGCTGGCTGTCCTCCTGGATTGAAGAAAAAGCAAAAAAAAACTGCCGCTTGTTTTAATCATCAGTCAAAATGTGGACCTGAAAAAACGAGTACGCAAAACTCTTAAAGGGGAAGTTAAGGCAAAAATCAAAATTTCACCAGTTGTAGTCTTCGGGGTGCTGAGTCGAATGGTCTTGGTCCGAGAAAGCTGAGACGCTCCCTTCCTACTTGAATCCCAATCGAACTCGCGCACTTCCACCGAAACTGGGTGACTACGCCCTACGAGATGGGGATTTGTATGCAAAATGTCACTAAAAGCGCCATTTCGTTCTTATTAAAGCACGGATGACCGCGATTGGCCCATATGTTGTAGTCTTTTGGACGCTGAGTCGACTGGTTTTGGTCCGAAAAGGCTGCGATGTAGCGTTCCTTCTTTATTCCCAATCCAACATGGTTGAACAAGGGGTCACGTGCTCCTGGGTGCCCAAATCACCTGGTCATCACGCCAGCAGGCGACACCTTTCACACCAAGGTTCAACTCGAGTTCAACTCGAGTGACAGGAGTGCACCCAAAAAAGGTCAAACAGGCTAGTAAGTTGTACCCTGCAAGCAAGGTGACGAGGTGACTGGTGTACGCAGGAGCACGTGACCACCTGTTCAACCATATTCGATTGGGAATAAAGGAGGTACGCTGCATCGCAGCCTTTTCGGACCAAAACCAGTCGACTCAGCGTCCAAAAGACTACAACATATGGGCCAATCGCGGTCAACCGTGCTTTTATAAGAACGAAATGGCGCTTTTAGTGACATTTTGCATACAAATCCCCATCTCGTAGGGCGCAGTCACCCAGTTTCGGTGGAAGTGCGCGAGTTCGATTGGGATTAAAGTAGGAAGGGAGCGTCTCAGCTTCCTCGGACCACGACCATTCGACTCAGCACCCCGAAGACTACAACTGGTGAAATTTTGATTTTTGCCTTAACTCCCCCTTTAAAAATTCTGCAAAATGCCGCTTGCCAGTATGCAGGGGGGTAGAGGGCACTTGGTAAAACTGGCAGTCGTCCCTACTCCCTTGTTGAATATGGGATCATGTCAAAAGTGGGCTAACGCTTTTGAGTTCTTATCCAATTGAACCCCCAACCCCCAAACAATTGTTGGGAATTCAGTGCAGAAACGTAATAACAGCATACTTCATTACGTACACACTAGTACATCGCACCTCCTTCGACGAAGTTCTAATACAATTCTTGTGCTTTGTTTTTTAAATATTTACTAGTTGAGTGTATTTGTATGGAATGTATACGGTGACCCAGTGTCTGCGCTAGAGTCTGCCCGGTGAGCGACCCGGTTGAGGGTACCTGGAGCCGTTTGTAGTCGCACGTGTACGTACCCGGCTCTGATCCGGTTGCAAGAAATGAATGTGCCAGGTACACGTGTACCGGGTTGGTGTGAAATCCTAGAGCAGACTCGGTACACATGCATATTGTGACTCTAATTGCAGAGACTGTATGTCCGTCATCAAGCTGGATTTCGTATGCTGGCAACTGCTACTTCCTCAGCAATGAGTCACTGACATTCAGTGTCGCGCGTCAGAAATGCCGGGCAACATCGGGTGCAGATCTCATCTCCATTCTCACGATGGCGGAAGCAGATTTTGTCAAGGTAACGTCATGTCTAATAGAGATTGTGGAATAGCAAAATACTTGCATACAATGAGCTGCACCCTCAGTCACACTCACTGAAATCCGACAAAATTAGTGCAAAACTGGTGCACTTGACCACTTCTGATCACATCGCTTGTTGGCACATTTTTATGTCCAGCCACATTTGTTCCACTTCCAGGTGTCATGGGCCATGCAATTGAGGCGCTAAAAATAATTCTAGAGTGGATTTATCCAAGCACAGCTGTAGCATTGTTCTCAGCTGGACAATAGGATATCCCTTGCTTGTTCAGATATCCCAAACCCGGGTCTTGTACATCTGCTCCTTTGGTGGGCGCCTTCAAACATTTGGTTTTAAATAAAATGGTTTGCAATGTTCGTGACGATCTGTTGTCATAGTGTTGAAGACCATCCCCACTCACCCACTGAACTTTGTCTCTCATACCTAAATGAGCTGATATGAATTTGCATGCCCCCCCCTATAAAATGAACGAGAAATCATTTTAATCTAAGGCCCGAACCTTCTTGTCCCGCAGGTAGAAGAGACTGGAAATGAAAATACAGCTAGACGGAGTAGGGAAAGCTGCTTCGGTTTTTGTGAGCCGAGGCCAAACGGCACCTTTGTGCAGAGCAGGAATGTTATTCAGAATTTTGAATGATATCGTCTCGACGTGCTTGGTCTTACCGAGACATGGCTGAAAGGTAATGAAGTTGATGTTCTGGACAACGGCCATGCCCTGTATCGCGCAAGGGGGGGGGGGGGGGGGGCGTCGTCTCGGGCTGGAGTTGGAATTATGGTAAATAAGAGAATTGTAAACAATGTTGCTTCGTATCAGTGCCACTCGGAACGAGTCGTGTCCAGTGTCTGCTCTAGGATTGTAGGACAGCCGGGTACACGTGTACCTGGCGCAACCATTTCAACCGGGTCGGAGCCGGGTACACATGTACCTGGCGCTGTCTCACCAGCCGAGTCACATGCTTTAACTGGGTGGTTTATTCGGACAATAAACGGGAACTAGGCCCAATGATATAAAGGCGAATGGATAAGCCGCATTTAGAAAAGAGAGGACAAGAATTAGAAAATTACGAAAGAAGAAGAAGTATCTGACACATACATGTACAAACCATGTAGTCAATCCTTTCAAAGTTCGAAAGTGTAAAGTACCAACCGGGTAACATGTGACCCGGTACTATATTTTCAATCGGGTCCAAGCGCCGCCCAACCGGGTGGATTACCCGGCTCACCCGGCGCTGGAGCACACACTGGATTATGTCAATCAGAATCAAGCTCTGCTCACGTCGGGAAAGCAGGTCCATCACAGTGATATGCTGCTATGCGCCAACTCTGCTGAGTTCCACGTCAAACTCCGCAGAGGCAGAGAACTATTGTACTTCTATTTACTATTGACCGCCTAAGTGCAGTCTGCAAACAGGGCACCCACTCTCACTTCACCATTCAAGCGCGTGCGTGCAACAAATCTCACCTTGCTGTTCTGGAGGCAGTGTACATTGCCAAGCTGAAGCCTGAACTGTGCGTGCAAAAGAAGTATGTGCGAAAGTTGTCACGGTTTTGACATTGTAGTACCGTGGTCCCCACTGTTGTCTGATACTGGTAATATTCATTGTCTCACTGTGTAGTTGGCGCCGCTGGCGCTATCTTTTAAAGTGCTATTTGGTCTATGCTCTGACCGCCAAATATGCTGTTGGCGCCACTAGCGCTATTTTTCAAGTGCTATTTTTGTTGATGCTCTGCCCGCCAAAAGTGCCGGTTATAAGGACTTGCTTGCTACCTTGTTGAGCGCACAAAGGGTTAATCACCATTGTATTCGACCTGAAGAGTAATGGAATGAAAGGCCTCGTCGAAAAAATCATATGGCTTCTGTGCTTCGTGTGCTGATTTGCTTTCCTCCAACCAAAATCTATTTACTATTGAGTAGTATTGTCAAAGACGTACCCAAGCAAGATGAAGTTTGGGTGTTGGGTGATATAAATGCAAAAATTGCAAGCTCAAGAACCAGGACCCAGGGCCCCTTTGGTAGTCAGGCGAAGCACTTAGTATAAAATTCAAATGGAGAGCGGCTTCTTGAGTTTTGTGAAGACCACCAACTAGGGCTGTACAACACCCTATTCAAACACCGCCTCCATCACCGAGCTACTTGGTTCACGGATGAACCGACCCGTGCAAAACAGAGAACCGGTGAGGAACAAGATAGATTATGTAATCATCAGGAAAAGAAGCATTTGCTTAATAACAAACCCGAAGGTCATTATGGTGGGTTTGTGACGCGCTCGGATCACCGGCCAGTGATTGTCGAATTCCACCTCTCCTTTGGTACCGTTAGTGTTGGGAAGAAATCATGCGAGCCTTGTTTCATCAAGTACATTATTCAGCATCAACGGGTAGGAGCTACTCAGCAAGTGGAAGCATGAAAATAGGTGCTACCTTTCAAAATTCTACCATCAGCACATAACATTTTCACTACTCGCAGGTGAGGTGCTCCTCATAATTATACCACGGCTCTATACCTCGCGTTTCTCATGAAATCACGTAGTTGCATGAGCCTAGGCCTCAATTGTATTCTTTTTTTCGCCTATTTTGCACCCCATCACCCAACTAACGCAATCTTTTTCATATCACACTATCAATCCGTATCATTCATTCGCGCCAGGATTTGGGCCAGGATTCGCGCCAGGATTCGCGCCAGGATTCGTGCCAGGATTCGGGCCAGGATTCGAACTTGCAGCCTGTATCAAACTTGTCTTCAAACTTGTGATCAAGTTTATCAACATGTGATTAAGTTGCTGCCTGGTGATCAGTTAAAATCGTGAAACTCAGATTTACAGCAGAAATGTTTTTGATTTCTCTCAAGTGTGTGTATGACAAGGATACATGTGCATTTGCTGAACTCTCAAAGTTCCTACTTTATATCATTCTCCATGATCTTATCCTCTGATCTTTGTGCTCCTGCACAGTCTAATTTGCAACAGCAAAACTACACTGTTGAGAGGCAGCTGTGGATTGGACTTACAGACACGGATGACGATGGCGGCTATGAGTGGTACGAGACCGGTGCCGTCCTGGACTTTGCCAACTGGGACTGTGGCCAGCCAGGCTCCGGTAGTTCTGCATACGATTGCGGTACCGTCTATGCGGGATCCTCTAAGGTTGGAAAGTGGGGTGACAGCTCTTGTTCCTCTGCCATCGGCGGCTATGTGTGCAAGTATGGAAAAAGTAAGATAACTGCATCACTGAATTGGTGCACAGAATGAGAATCGCTTGTTCATCGCTGCTGTAAAAGTTTTGTCACTTTCTGGCTACACTGCTTTGGACTTCATTTTGGTATGTGCTTGGCGATACAACAATAGTGGCCTTATTCCTATGGTTGCCGATAATCTTTCACGTGTTGAAAAGAATTCACCTTGTGGCCACATTAAATTTTGTTAGCAATCATTACGGCTTTGTGGTGTGCCAATGCATTATAGACTGAAGCTGTCGTTGTTTGCTTCTGCAGATCCAGTTGTACATTTGGTGAACAGCCACTGCCCGTATGGGTGGTATGCCCTTGAGAACAAGTGCTTTAAGTTCGAGATGACAGCCCCGCCGCAAAGCTGGACTGACGCCAACAAGATGTGCAAGTCCAAGTACAACGGAACTCTGATGAGCGCTAGCGATCCCAAACAGATGGACGTCTTATTGACCTACATCAGTGAGTTGCCATGATGAATACTGCACACAAATGTTTCTGGAAAACCATAGCCTTTACGTTTTCTAGGAATGGATGTGAAGCGATCATAAACACTTTCGATTTCGGGCTGCAAGCCACGCAGGAGTCCATTGCGGTACAAGACGAGGACTTTTTTTATTTACATCAAGCAGGCACATATGAAAAAGAGAAAAGGTAGAGAAAGAGACAGAGGTAGAGAGAGAGCGAAAGAGAGAGAGAGAGAGAGAGAGATGGGAGAGAGATAGGGAGAGAGAGAGAAAGAAAGAAAGGACGAAAGAGAACGAAAGAGAGCGAGTGAGAACGAGAGAGAGAGAAAGACAGAGAGAGACAGAGATAGATAGATAGGTAGATAGATAGATAGGTAGATTGATAGAGAGAGAGAGACAAAAAGAGACAATGCTGCGGCAGTGACTATACACTACACACACCATGCCTGTGTCTGCAACATTACAATCATAATCATTAAGACGACCAATAGACTTAGCAATACCGGAAGAATACGAGAATAGGGACTTTTGGGTACACTGAAATGAATATCAGGACTTCCAAAGAGACGGTGGTGGAAATGGCTGTGTTACTAATGCCTTTATGATGTGGTAGTGTCTTACCTGTTCACACGAAGGAGGAGGAGGAAGGGAAGTGAAGTCGAGGTGGAGGTCTGAGGGAAAGGGGAGTGGGAGGGGAGGGATGGAGAAGGAGAGAGAGCGAGAGAGAAAGAGGAAGAGAGAGAACTGTAGATTGAGAGAGACACAGAACTATAAATTGAAAAAGAGAGAAAGGGGGGGGGGGCTGGGCTCTAACTCTTACTTTCACGTAGTTATGATTGCCTCATGATCTTGACTACTTGAAACACGGAGTTGCAGCCCAGTTTTCTCTCTCTCTCTCCCTCTCTCTTTCTCTCTCTCAGTAGTTCTGTACTCTACGAGTCGTAGGATTGTATTCTGGATGGAGTTGACAGTTTGTGGTGAGGACAGAGATTCAGTGTCAGTAACTCGCGGAAGCACAGGCGGTATGCGGATCTGGCCGATCAATGCCGAGCAAATGGGTGGCAGGTCGTTTCTTTTTCGGTTGAGGTAGGTGTGCGTGGTTTCATCCCGGACTCTCTTCGGAGGGCTCTGAAAGCGCTTGGGTTTTCTAATCGAAGAATAAAATATATTTTATAATTTGTGCAGTAAGACGTCTCTGCGAAGCAGCTACATCATCTGGTTGCGACGTAAACAAAAACACTGGTCGGAAGATCCACTTTTCTGAGGTACTGTATGTGGGGCTCCGTTTATTGAGGTGCGGTGAAATTTATTCTCTTTTTCTTATTATTTCTTTTCTATAATTTCCCATATGAGTTCCTATCAGTTGCTGTGAACACCTTGAGTGGAGAGCGCTTGCTCGGGCGTTGAACCAGGTTTTTAAATCCACCATACCCAGTTCGCAAGGCTGGGCTGGGTTGTGAGCAGGCTTTCATTTCATCTTTTCTTATTATTTCTCCTTTTCATCTCACTACAAAAATTCTGCGCATTTTTTTCTCCATCTGCGCATAAAATCTAGACTGACAACCTGCACCTGCTTTCAGGCGTAAAAACCTGTTGTAGAGGTCTCAGTCCTCATTTGTTAGACTTACCTGTCTTTACGAGAGAGCTTGGAAGCTCAGGGCCCTACGCTATGCTTTTTTGCCTTGATGACCAAGACAAAAAAAGCATAGGGATGTTATAAATTCTTATAAGTTTCTACTTTTTGTTTTTAGACATAACCTGGGATTCGAACCCGCACTATCGCCCTGCATGCATCCCCCGATACACTTCGCATACATACTAATTCTTCCAAGTTGCTTCACGTTATGATCTTGTATTTGAAAGCCCTGTTTGAATATGCATTGTGGCCAGCCGTCTTTGATTGTACGGTTCGGGATATGTACGGGGCAGGTAAGGGACTGGTACGGGACAGGTACGGGACAGGTACGGGACAGGTACGGTCGAGGGTAGTACGACACTGTCTACCGCCTTGATGACGGCAAAAAAGAAAGGGGATGTTATAAATTTGTCAATTCTCCTATTTTTTTTTCAGGCATTACCTGGGATTCGAACCCGCACTATCGCCCTACATGCATTTCCCCATACACATCGCATTCATACTCATTCTTCTAAGTTGCTTCACGTTATGATCTTGCGTTTGAAAGGCCTATTTGAATATTGCGGCCAGCTGTATGTGGCCAGCTGTGTTTGATGGTACGGTGCAGTACGGGACAGATACGGGATAGCGCCAGGCGTGACACAAACAGACAAACACACAAACACCAAATTAAAGCAGTGTGGACCCTGGCTAGCGCCAGACATTACTGAAGTACCGTCTTCTGCAAAGCTACGGGAATAAATGTAACTTACTCTCTATCTCTCTCTTTCTCTCTCTCTCTCTCTACCTATCTATCTCTCTCTCTCTCTCTCTCTCTCTCTCTCTCTCTCTCTCTCTCTCTCTTTCTCTCTCTCTCTCTCTCTAACTCTCTAACTCTCGGTCTGTCTGTCTGTCTGTCTCTCTCTCTCTCTCTCTCTCTCTCTCTCTCTCTCTCTCTCTCTCTCTCTCTCTCTCTCTCTCTCCTCTCTCTCTCTCTATCTCTCTGTCTGCCTCTCTCTCTCTCTCTCTCTCTATCTCTCTCTCTCTCTTCTCTCTCTCTCTCTCTCTCTCTCTCTCTCTCTCTCTCTCTCTCTCTCTCTCTCTCTCTCTCTCTCTCTCTTTCTTTCTATCAAACACTCAATCTTCGAATATAATTGTTTCGTGCTTTAATAACTCGTCAGCACAGCACACAGAAAATGAGGCCTATAATAATTGTTAGGTCCCGGCTAAAAGCAGTCCCCTCACACTTCCAGAACACAGGGTTTTGTAGCATTGAATAATTATATGGAAGAAGTACGTAGACGGGAGAATTGCCGGGAGTGAGAATGAGAATAGAGAACCCCTGGAGCATGCGCTGTTCTATACTTGATGGGATCTCATTGCTATGGTGAAGGAGCGGGAAAAATGAACAGTGAGTATTGTACTGTCTTAGTACTCAATGATGCAGCCAGCCAGACTGTTTCGGCCAATGAGGCCTCATCAGTGCAACTTAAAATAGGATTGAACTGTCAGCCATGGCTACGAGAACCACAGACATCAAGACAGCTCGATGTACTAGCGCTGAGAGTGCTCTAACTGTCTTAGTATAAACACACCTATCACATAATTATGTTACCTTGTGTTTACAAAGATCACTCTTGCACAGACGCTGATACAAACATCTTCAAGTATTTTCAACTGACTAGCATAACGTGGATAGCACAAAGCAGAAAAACTGAAATGATCATAACCCTTCAGACACTTAGGGAAAAACACAAATGAAGAAACACAGCAGACCCCTTACGATTATCATTTTCATCCAGCTTTCTCACCTCCATCACCCCGCACCTCGTCATCTGTTTCATTTATCGACTTCTCTTCCGTGTCATCTGCCGTGTCATCCTCTTCACCCATGTCGATGTCGTCAAATTTAGGCCGTAAGTTGTCGCACCTGTCGGTCCCAGTGTCTTCGCCGGTCCTTGACTTTCAGTGTTGTAATAAGTCGTTGCGTAATTCGCTGTCGATCTTCTGGGTCTTTCAATTCTCGGAATTGCTATGGCTGAGTACATAGCATCTGTGGCACACACAAAATATGGACGACACAAACAACAGGCACTTGCCAGGAGCGAGAACACCTAGATAAACAGAATATGAAGGAGGAAAACTAGAATGAACACACCGAGAATGTCCCGGTGCTGCTTATGCTCCGAAGAACACGGTAATGGGAAACGTGGGTAGCGACCCAGGCCAACGAAGCATTGTTTGTTTGTTTGTAAATTGTACTTTAATTCGCTATTCCAAAACGAGCCCAAATGCTCAATGACATGGAAGCGAATATGTTATTGTGTTACAAGGAAGGAAGGTTTGGGAGCAAATAATGAGAAAGAAGAGAGAATGGTAGATATCTCAATGAGGAGCGCAGTGTTATCAAAACTAGATAAGTCAGCGAATAACAAATCTGTTGCTCGCCTAAAAAGAAACTCATAAGACTAAGTGCTACCTTCTAACAAGCGTACATAACCGCCTGCTCTTCCTACTAACATCAGGGATAGGATGGTATAAGATACGATGGCCATTTCGAAGCTGCTGAGGGACGACAGTACTCTGACTGCGTCCTGTAGTTCATTCCAGAGGGTACTATCTTGGCAGGCAGGGCGAGATCGTCCGGCGTGGGTTCTTATACAGACGGAGTCCGGGGAGAGATCCAGGCGTGTCCTGCGATCCATGCAGCGTAAGAAGAGATCCAGAAAGGATGGACTCGCAATGGTGTGTATGTGCCATCAGACGAAACACCAGGACTTTCTTCCGATACAGCTCTTCAATCCTGACCACCTATATGCATCCCAGGAGATCACTGGCACTGGAGAACTCTGGGCAGCCATACACTGCTCTTGCCCCATGTTTTTTTGTGCTACTTGGAGCCAATCTGTCTTTTTCTGAGTGAGTCTTGGGGTGAACGCAATGGACCCATGCCCGAGATCCTGCAGGATAGCTGCCTTGAAAAACAGCACTCGGCTAGCAAGTGTTTGACATTTCCTGTCCGCCACAGGGTTAAAATTTCTTATTGGCTTTCGAGGTGCTCACAACGACTTGAAGCTGCCATGACATGCGGACATCCAAGATGATGCCAAGATAGTAGGCACTGGTGACGCTTGACACGGGCATGCCATCACACTTTCCCACAACCTCGGGGCTTTGGCCATGGGATCCTGCAAAGACAAGCAGCTGACTCTTGGTCGCATTGAGGATTATACCACGGGAGGCTAGCCAGTGAGCACAGCTAGAAACGGCTGTCGTGAGCTCAGACGAAATGAAGTCAGCGTTGCCGCATCTGGAAGTTAAGTCTATATTGTCTGCAACCTGGAGCGACATAGTCTGGGAAGTAAAAGTCACATCTCTAGTGTAGACGCTGAAGAGCAGCGGCCCCAGGACCGAACCCTACGGACCACTGCAGGTGCATTTAACAAGCCTGCTGAATCTAGAGCCAATACGCACTTGCTATTGGCGACTTGACCGGTAAAGTGTGAACCAAGTCAGTGCTCCTCCAAAAATGCCAATGTCAAAAAGGTCCTGGATAAGAATGACATATTTATGTTAGGTACCTCCTCCCGTACCTTTTCTAGCTGGCCTGCATGCACTTGCGTACTCACCTTTTGTCTCCTTTTGTTCCGTCGGCCTGGGTAGCTACTTGCGCGCCCATATTTGCCATAGCTACCCAGGCCCTTTATCTTGCCGTTCAGACTCTCTCTCTTTTCTCACTCGTCAATAATCACCATGTAGTCGTTTCGTTCGTCTTGGTCTCTTGTCCCGTCTCTAATAAATGTCGTTCCACCACTAACCTGTTCCCGTTGTCAGTTGTCCTAATTCGAATTCAACATTTAGTAGGCAGGTTGCGACCACGACACGGGAATCTATGTTTGCAGCTTGCAGGGGAAATTATGTACAAGTAAAAAATGCATGAGAGATAGGGCCCTAGCAGTTGGCAAAACGAACGATCCCGTGCTGGTAGCAATGTGTGTATGTGCATGCCTAACACCGGTTGACATGATTGTTGGGCCATCTATGGGGAGTGATTTCCGCAAAGCAACTAGCTTGCATGGAGAGAGAATGCACACTATTGCAAATGATCTGCTAGAGTTTATGCTCCACTCAGGCACGAAAACCAATGGTTGATTTTCCATTGCAGTCATTGTTCTTGAAAGCAGTACACGTGAGAGCTAAATTGACAGCCTGTCATACTCTTGTCCCTTGATGGCCTCAGGTCAGTTCTACCCTCTCACCAGCAAGGCAGTGTGGATGGGACTGCGCCAGGTACAGAACAAACACAGTCCATGGACATGGACCGATCTTACCTGTAGCAAGTACGCCAACTGGGGATGCGGTGAACCCAACAGCGCTGGATGGCAGGGTGAAGACTGCATGTCAATTGGCTTCGGCAAGACGAACAGAAATGCCGGCCGATGGAACGATGCCGACTGCAACGGCAGAAAGCAGTATGCTTGCGAGATTCCCTTCTCCTTCAGTGAGTACAGACACTTACAGCACTCATTTACTGTGTGTTGGTTTTACTATCTGTTTGTATGTTCAGTGCTGTGTGGTGGATTCATAGAACTCTGGCATATGTAGTGCAATCATGTACATGTACACTTTTGCCTTTAGTAACGTCCAGAACTACATTGCGTCATCTTCTGGGTTATGTGTGAAAATGCAGTACTCATTCGAGTGTAGGCGAGTTGCCTGCAAACAAATCTTTTTGCACAGCTTGGGGAACTATTCATTGGGCCAAGTAAAAAAAAAAGATTGTTGATGTTCAGAATTTTCCGAAAAATCGGGGTGGACGGGAGGGTTTTATTTTTATTTTATAACTTTTTTTATATCTGCATCGACCGGACATCTTGAAATCTTAGCATGTATTACATCAATGGGCTTGTGTTTTCATTATACGTGTTCTGTGCAGAAACTTTGTCAAGTGTGTCCAACCCAACATGTGATGGTGAGAACAGTGTTGCTGCTGTGTTGCTGCTGGCGTCCGCTGGATAGCATGTAGAGTTGTAGCTGAAGAAATTCAACCCACATGCCGAAAGCATTGCCAAGCCATATGCGGCTCCTGTGGCTTTTGGATCGGTTTTGTGAACGGGCATGATTTAATTGAAATAGAGACACGGCACTACTTTTGATTCGCGGGTCGGATTTCTTGGACCACGGCTGTAGATAGATATTATGTTATTGGTGATAGAAAGCTACAATAGTACCGAACACATGAGAGATAAATGTGAATTGTACATGTTAAAGGAAAACGTTCAGAACGGTTTTCTCATTACGATCTTCAACATTTTGTCATATGTTATTTTAGAAACCGGCATAAAATGCCCAGCAGGCTGGTTGCAAAACGGCCGAAGTTGCTACTACTTTGAGACAAACGACAGAGTTAGCTGGTCCACAGCTGTCAATATTTGCAACCTCAAGAACGGTGCTTCTCTACTCAGCATCAGTGATTCCACAGAGCAAGCATTCATCACGAGTGCTGTCACAAATCTAGGATTGATGAGCGAGAAGAAGCTTTGGATTGGTATGAACTTGGACGCCTCCTATTACCAATTTACCTGGCCTGATGGTAAGCTATAGTGTTGTGAAGAGATCCGGCACCTGTTTTCGTGTCATCCATAGAGCATACAGATTTGCGTTCTCTGTACCCACTCCTTTTACTGGTTCATCAATCATGCGACATTTGAATAGGCATTTGAAGATTTGAAGTCAGCTTTCATGTAGATCCTTGTAAAAGGGGGCGGGGTATCGGCTACATTCCTACGGATGTGGAAATATCAATCAGCCTGAGACTCATGCATACCGTGAACACTTTGAACTGTTGCTGCTCAGCGCGCAGATCAAGGCAGAGCAGAGTACCGATACTCATCAAACCGAATGGTCCAGCTTTCTCAGCTTGCAAGGATGGTCGCTATGTTACTCGACTGGACAGCATTCTGCAATCAATCACGTAAAAGGTATTGGAGTTCCCAATGTTTTCATGCATACTATGCTTTGTTTTCTTTTTCTTCTCCTTGTCGTCTAGGTACTGTGCCACTGTATCGCAACTGGGACTGTGAATTCATCAAAGGCAGCAGCCCATGGTATCGCAACTGTGTTTACCTGTTTGCTGGAGCCCGCGCGTCTGGACGGCGTGATGGCTACTGGGGCGCAGACCTCTGCTTCTACTACAATCAGGACGGCTACATCTGTGAATCAACAATCCCACAGGCAGGTTAGTGGTCAATTTCCGAAGCTATACAAAATACGTCACTTTAGTAGCGTCTGGCCCTAGCTAGGGCTATATTTCGATGACTGTCCACTTCAGCGCCACCATTTTAGAGCGATGCATTTCAGCGCCAACACTTCAGCGCATGATTTCACAGCACCAGTTTCTTCAGGCCCGTGACTATCTGCGCAGTAAAGCCAGCAACTCAGCGCGAAAAAAGACAGGGTAATTTACAGCGGGAAGAAGTTCAGCGCGATCAAGCATGCGTGCGTGTGATAATAGCTCAATTCAGACACCACATTTTCTTGTTTTCCTAAACTATGCGGGATTTCGTAGCCTTGTTGTTTATAATTTGTGTGTAGAAGTAGATATGTTCTGTTTCGTTGTGTTTCAAAGGAGTGCACATCTGTATCTATTGTTTGTTTCCTACTGTTAAGTACCCCCTCCCGTACGTTCTACAACCTTATCCAAGCTGGCCTGCATGCACTCTCGTACTCACCTTTTGTCTCCTTTTGTTCCGTTGGCCTGGGTAGCTACTTGCGCGCCCATAATTGCCGTAGCTACCCAGGCCCTTTATCTTGCCGTTCTTGAGCTCTACCTCTTGCCTCTCTCTTCCACAATGTCGTCGTTTCGTTCGTCTTTGTCTCAGTCTCTTCGTCTCTCCAATATAATTATGTTGTTCGACCTAACCTGTTCCCGTTGTCCGTTGTAATGTCTGGAGAATATGTCATCAGTCCTCCTTTTCGTACGCAACCCTACGATAAGATCATCAAAATGAGCTTGGAAGGAAGTTGGAAAACATCGCGAATGTGCTCTATGGAGTTTCTTGGCATGTTTCAGAGAGATATCGACTAATCTGCTCTTCATGGTTGGGCAGGTGCACTAGCCATAGGCCATCTTGATATCCTCCAACACATTACGTTGGTGAAAAATCTCACACCAAATTGACCGTTCGTTCACCCGTCACATGATAATCGATGGCTTACTTTACTTGTGCTGGATAAACTTTCTAGTTTTTCTTATGGCATCTGCGTATCCAGTGGCACACGAGGCCACGCTGTTTAACATTTGAACGGACTCTGACCGATCATTTCAGTATTTTGGCTCTCCATTGTCCCAAAGAAGTCGGATCTTTTTCAAACTTCTGTATTATCACAGGGGACAATTCAAAAAATCGACCTCTAAAATATATGCCTTGTCCCTCATTATATCGGGCTGGAATGAAGACATTTACTTTGTGATTGAGTACCGCTGCACAGGAGGTGTTACAGTGGACGAGCATTTGATTCGAATCTACAAGAGCAGCTAGTGTTAGTACCATGATTTGAACACACCAACCGTGGTGATCAGCTACGATTTGCACAAAAGCCTATTTACCAGCTCAACAGCTCTAGGACAACTTAGGTAGTAGTGGCATGCTGCAGCGAGAGGGACTGGCTAAGTGGTGTGGAGTGTTACAAAAACGAAATCCGAATACCTGGAGGTAAGCTATCACAATATGCGACACCAGCAGTAGAAGAATCCTTTCCCTGTCACGGAATTCGTTGGCTGGGCCTAGGCTGCGTGAAACAGTTTTAAAACACCAACTGCAAGAAAGAGTCCGATGTCCAATGCTATGGCTTGTCTCTCCTGAACTGATCACGGTATGTACTTTATGCAAATGCGGTGAACAGGGAAACATATTATTAGTGTGGCACCGTGGTTTGTTGGCCAAAGTCGCCTCCTTTAACATTGGTGGCAATGTTCCGCGGTGGCTTGAAAGCTACCTATCCTGCCGGGTCCAACAGGTCAGGGTGTCAGGTTCGCTGTCCCAACCGCTCGAAGTATGTTCCGGTGTGCCACAGGGCTCAATACTTGGTCCTCTTCTCTTCTTGCTCTATGTAAATGACTTAACTCGCGTTCCAGATACCTCCCTGTACGCCGATGACACTACTCTTGTGGCATCTGAACTTTCCCTGCCCATGGCGTGTAATTCTTCGCAGTCGGAAATTCGCTCAGTGGTTGAATGGATGCGTCTCTGGAAACTTCGACCTAATGCTGGAAAGACTGTCATATTGTGCATTCCACCTCATCCGCGTTCCGATCTTTCCTACATCGACCAGTACCTATTCCACTTCCCTGACGATCGGACGCCCATCCCAATTGTTAGCCACCACAAACACCTTGGAGTCATCTTTGACTCAGGCATGAGTTGGTCCCACCATCTGGAGTATATCGCGCGCCGGACAAGTTCGGCTGTTGGTGTTCTATACAGTCACATGAGCCAATTACCACTAGTCTGTCGTCGGGCTTTCTACGCCTCCTATATCTTACCCATAATTTTATACTGTAGCATTGTGTGGTGCAGTGCTGGAGCAGGAATGCTTACGCGGCTTGAACTAATGCATCGCAGGATTTTGATAGCGATATTTTCGCTTCCCACTTGACACCCCATTAACAATTCTGTATTCCCAATGCAAAACCTGTCCTTTACAAACCATAATTAACACACTCTGTTGTAGATTTATCCATCAGATTAAACTGCTGAAGGCACCAATGCATATTCAAAATGCACTTAACTGGTTCAACTCCTCTTCGTCAAGTCGTAATAAACTAAGATTTCCTATTTCAAGAAATAACTCAATGAGTCGCTCGCCTGTTTTCATTAGCTATTGTCTCTGGGACTCGCTTCCCCAAAAAATGCAATCATGTGAAAACATTTCTGCCTTTGTTCGTGATCTCTCGGACCATTTTCTGTAAACCTAATAATACAACTTCATTTTCAGCCCAATCTCTTCTTTTATTGTTGTTCTGATTTGCACTTGTTTTTCTTTCTTCTTCTTTTTTCTTCTTTTTTTGCCATGGCTGGCTATAGTCGCCCTCACCTCCTCCTTGATTGGCCTTGGCCATGAGTGTGTGCGTAATAATTTAATAATAATTAATATGTTTACATACATCTAATACCTCATGTACTAGTGGCTAAAGAATTGTCCATGACTGCAGAGCCGACAGTAGTGCTATAGGTGATGGAGTAGGGCTGGGCTGTACGGTGCAGAGTTTCCAAGGCTCAGACGGAAGAACAAGTTCAACTAAAGTGAAACACATGGAAGCGAAAGTATTTGTATCACGATGTTGGGATCGATCAGCTTTTTAAACTGCAGCTATTCACATGTGAGTGTTGTCCAACTGCAGCCCTGAGGTCTTTTCATAGAATAGTGGCAAGCTAGCCAATATTTGGTCTGTTATCTATGCAAAGGATTTTGGTATTTCAATTTCATCAGTTCTTCATTACGGCACTGCCATTGCATACAAGTAGTGCTCTCCTTCTCACATCGCTGCGAGAGCTATCGTATTATCTACACGCATTTCGAGTAAATTAGTTGAGGTTGCAACTGTCCTATAGCATTTCCTACCTTAGACTCTGCCGTTTCCTACCCACCTTTGCCTTCTCCTGTCAGTCCTTGGGTTACAATACCTATTCTGTTAGTTGAAGTGTAACGCCCAGCCGTCTGAGGCTTTCCTCTGTGTTTGCAGTCTGATATACTAATGCATGTACATGTAACTAGTATCATGTACCTGCTAGCTGCACATGCAGGTACATGTACATATACCTCAATGCTAACATCCAACGTGACATGTAATGTCATGTACTGTGTACATGTACAATAGCCAAGTTTCACTGCACTTTTAAAACCTGTTTTATACTACAAAAAGCACAGTACCTGTCGCCGTACCGTATCTACTGCTTATTCTGAGCAAAATGAGGTGCTACTTGGCCCTATATGTGTCAGTAGAAATGGATATAGGAGCGATTCTAGTTAGGTTGCCATGGTAATAACGGTCTTTTCTATTTTGATGTTTTTCACCATGTTCGGACACAATTCGGCAATCGAAACCTACGCCATCGTGTTCAGGAGGCAAAGACCATCCAGAAATGATCATGAAATCCATGTTAGCCAACTTGTGTCAAGTAAAAGTGAGAAATTTCAAATGGGCCCTGGGACTATATGGGACATATGGCACCCTTCCGGTATCCCAACTGGAAAAAAATTCTAGTATGAAATTTATTGTTGCAGGGATACAAGAAAGAAATTGGTTTTTCACCATCTACTCCTATACAAAGTTTACCTCGCTGACGTCATAAATCCGACCTAGTTTGGGGAAGTTTATGACGTCATGATGATGTCACCAAATTTCGTGCAAACTTCAAGCTGTGATAACTCGGGAACGGCTGCTCTGATCTACCTGGGACCTTCACCATTGGAATCAGTGCATTTTTAGCAACCAGCTGTGAAGTATGTAAGCACGAATCATGAACGTAGTTTGAGGGAAAAGCGCAAACATGAAAACTATTCAATGTACTAGTACAATGAAAATTATCCAGTGTATTTCCCGAGAGGTCGATCTGCTCCTCCCTGACTCATGGGTTCACAGATCGCAATGACACAGCAGCTAGCATTACCCTTGTCATTCTTTTCATCTTCATGCAGTTGTTCCCAAGTACAATCAGGGCATTTGCGAGTCTGGCTGGATCCAGAGTGGCCGCACCTGCTTGTATCCTGCGACGAAAAGCTCCGACAAGCTACCCTGGTTCAGTGCCAGAGCTGAGTGTCAGAAGCTCGGTGGAGACCTGGCTATAACCAAGACGAAGGAGGAGAACGGCTTTGTCGTGGACTATATTGCAGCCAATGAGCCAACGTTCGACCAGCCTATTTGGATTGGTCTCTTTGTACAGTACCCGGTGGGTACGGCAAACAACCAGACCTTTTACTGGGTTGACAACAGCACGCTGACGTCCTACCCATACCACCATTGGGGTTGTAGTGAGCCCAACAACTACGGGGGCAACGAGCACTGCGGTGGAATAGGTAAGCTGATGAAGAGCGTCTCTCTCCAACTGTAACTTTACTCTCTAATGTCAATTCTCATAGTGACATTCTGTACCTCTTGTGTTGACATACATAATACACTCACTGTTCATTCTGTACTATTACATGGTGACTGCACATCACGTATTGATGAGAATATATTGGACTGGGTATGTTCACATGATCATAACTTTGCCAGTTTATTGTCGATTTCACAATTGAATTGTGTGTGTGTGTGCACGTTCGCGCGCATATGTGTGTTTGTGCGTGTTCGCGCACGCATGTGTGTGTGTGTGTGTGTGTATGGTTGTGTGTGTGCGTGAATGTCAACAGTAACTAGACTTGGCAATGAGATGTCGTCATTTTGGTTTGATTACTACTGTGACTTGAAGTTCAACTACCTATGCAGCAAACCAGCATCGAAAGGTCAGTGCAAGTCATGGCTGCTGTCTATCCCAGGCACTTTCGATAGGCTGTTTGTTTCTGTCAACACTCAGTGCAAGCCACGGCTGTGGCCTATACCAGGCACTTTCGATAGGCTGTTTGTTTCTGTCAACACTCAGTGCAAGCCACGGCTGTGGCCTATCCCAGACACTTTCGGTAGGCTGTTTGTTTCTGTCAACACTCAGTGCAAGCCATGTCCTTGAAGCAAAGATGTCTGCAGTAGCATTTCATGGTTTGTGTTTGGTCTGGTGGCTATGTTCTCGCTGTTCAGTGAGTCCTTGCAAGGATGGCTGGCTATGGAACAAGGAGAGCAGCAGCTGCTACTATGTGGAGACAAACCGTGCGGTGAACTTCACCATGGCAATGAGTGATTGCACTGCTATGGGTGCTATGATGGTCACGGTACTGGACGCTACTGAGCAGAAGTTTCTCACCAGCTCACTGCTGAAGATGAAAATCCCTCTGGGCATGAACCTGTGGATTGGCTTGAACGACTCCGATGCCAACAAGGTGTATGCTTGGAATGACGGTACTCGACCATTCTACAATAACTTCCAGTGTGGCCAGCCTGGCAATGGAGGTGTACGTGCGTGTGCCACAATGTATGCAGGAGGAAAGGGCACAGGCCTGTGGATTGACTTGGACTGCGGCACAAACCTGGGCTATATCTGCAAGACTCCTGGACCAGGCCTCAGTGAGTTGGTGATTGCTATCCATAATAGGTGGGGGGGGGGACTGGATGTTGCATGAATTAGGCGTTATTAATTACAGTCACTTTACAGTAAAAGAAAGTTACAACTGCATTATTGTCAAGAAAATGATCCAATCTCCTTTCTTTCCTGGAGACGTAAGAAGAAACAATACAACAAAGGAGATCACACACTATAATTGTTGAAGTCAAAGTAAGTGGACTTGCAGGTAAGTCCAACTGCAAGTCATGTGATTAGCTCTAGCTCCGTCCGACTGAACAAACCTGTCTATCGCACCAGACTTTAAGAGCTGTAGAAGCAGATTCATTCAAAGCGACGACGGGTGGATATGCGGAATTCAAGTGCGCAAGCGGTCCCTCAGTTGTAAGCCATACCTTCCTGCGTAGATATTAGCTCTATTTTTCCCAGAGCGATGCAAGAGCCTCGACAAGAGCCTCGACTAAACACAACTGGGGACACGATGAAAACACTGCATTATTTTCGCAATTGACAACTGACAAAACACAACTTCACACAAGCAAGAGCTGACAACAGAAATGAGATCGACAAGTTCCAGTCAGAGCCTTGGCACGTACAGCAGCTCCACTGTCTGCACAAGGTGAGTGTACACAATAGAGCTTATTCAAAGACTGGGCACCGTGCCCGCCCCTGACGATCATCCTGAGTTTGTGCTGAACTGAACTGCATGTCAAAGCACAATGAAAACTAAACGACGTTTGAGATGTGAGTAGATCGTCTCCGCTTGAAGCGAATCTGAAACTTGTTTTTTTTGCGCTCAAGCCATAGAAGGCAACTGCTCTGAATCAACACTGAATCAACACGAGGGTTGGACATCAAGTGGAGCGCCAGTCTAGTGCTTCTTTTTTCATCCCCATGCATCCATTCCCATACAAATTGAACGTGAACTGGGCTTCACTTGTTCACCAGCGATTAGAACGTGTTTGCACATGACCCCACAAAGTGACCGTTTGTCCAACCACGAAAACGAGAGAGCTTGAAAGCTTAGGGCCCTCGCTATGCATTTTGCCTAGGTCATTATGCATGTTACTCAAACTGATGGAAACAAAATTGCAACAGTTTTCTGCCATTCTCGCTCCACATATACTTGCACACACAGAGATATAGACAGCAACATCGACAACACACAAAGTGAAGGGTAGTTGGACGCAGCCAGATGTGAACCGGATAACGAGTGAGGTATGGAATCAAGGACTGAGAACAGAGTATCTGAGATAGACCAGTGGATAGCAGAAATAGGCCATGATGCAGAACCACTTTGGACCGTCAGATTAATTTTCCTGGATCGAGCCAGCCTGGGAAAAAGCCCTCGCGCCGACGGACGCAGTTGTGAGGGAAAAAAACGGGTGTACATCCCCAATCGCGATTAGGCATCATGTAGCCATGGCAAGCACATCACGGCAAAAGGTGATAAAAAAGCAATGACAATATGCACATAAATGAAGGGTGGGAGGGCAGGGACACTGGTGTGACTCAAAACGTACTGAAGAAGTCAGGACAAAAAGCAGCAATAGAGAACACACCACTGTCACCAGATGCCATATTTGCAACTGAAAATGTTTCGCGAGAAATCATTTCTGACCTATCTCTCTGCGCTCGGCCGGCGAGAAATACAACTTTTGTCGCACTCGCTGACTGTATAATGATCTGTTTACACTGGTGGACAGTTAGTCGTAAATAGTAACATTTTGTCCTTTTCCTTTTATTTACCATAATTAGATTTGCTCACCATCCCAGTTCAATAGTTATACAAGTATTGAGTACGAAAAAGGACGACTGGTACCTCCTCCCATACCTAACACAAGGATAACAAAAATCTGTTTGCCCTCCCAACTTTTTTTGATCAACAGGACGATCACGAAGAACATGTATTCCCCTGCTTGGCCTAACATGGGATTCGAACTGCACTATCGCCCAGCATGCATTCTCCCGATACACTTCGCATACATACACATTCTTCCAAGTTGCTTTGCGTTATTATGTGGCACTTGAGAATGGGGTGGCCAGCAGTCTGCTACAATGATAAAGATATAAATCAGCCCACCCGCCCCATTTTTTAATAATTAAATAAAAAATCTGCCTGCCCTTCCCATTCTGCGGGAAAAAAACCAGGACGATCATGAAGTACATGACTGTATTCCCTGGCTTGGCCTGAAGCCTAGTTCACATTCGACGCAACGCCGACGGTACGGGACTAAGGGCTTGTCGGGAGGGCTGGGGTACAGGTGAGCTGTAAAATCCTGTACGATTCGTACGACACGACATGCAGCAGTCGGTGCGACGTTCAACGTCGAACGGCGCGAGTCATAAGGCACGGTCCATGACGGGGTGACTTTCGGACCTAATTTCTCGTTTTTCGGGACTTCTTTTCAATTATTTCTCCTTGAAAGAAGCGGAATCAAGTTCACAATACCAGTTTTCGTGAAGATCAAAAAATTAGCCCTGAAAGTTGTGGCATTCAAATAATAGCCTCAGGAAATGAAAGAATAGTTCGTCTGTCACGCTTCTGAACTATCCCTACATACAATAAGTGACATGAGATATTATGTTGCTAAAATTCAACTCAAGTCGTGCCAGCCATTCTGTGAGTTATCATGGGAAGCGCAGTGTTCGAAATGCTAAAAATATCCAAGTAAGAATCGGGAGTAGTCGGCGCACGACGCCGTCTCCTGTTCACACTCGAATTGCAGCCGTTTTGTACGCTTGCGTCCCCGTCTACGCCCGTCTACGGTATGAAAAGTTGGATCGATCCAACTCTTCCCGACGCTTCCCGATCTGTACGGTAGTACGGTTGCGTTCCCGTTCCTGGTGTTTACATTGGACGCCGTCAGAGCGTCCCGTCGCTTCACGTCGATCCTTACGTCGCGTCCCGTCGCGCCCCGTCGAATGTGAACTAGGCTTACATGGGATTCGAACCCGCACTTGCCCCGTCTCTTGCTCTGTATGTAAACATGGTAAAAATTCACCTAGGGTTCCCAGTAAAAAGGCAACGCCTGTTGGGAGTCCCCTAGTAAAATAATAAAATCTACTACTACTACTATCGTCCTGCATGCATTTCCCCGATACACTTCGCATACATACACATTCTTGCGAGTTGCTTCGCGTTATGATCTGGCAGTTGAAAGCCCTAATTGAAGAGGGTGGCCAGGCATCTTTTACAATGATAAAAATATAAACTAGCCCTCCCTCCACCTTTTTCTGGTTCAGAAAGGTCCAAGAGGTATGTCCAATAGCCTTACTAGTTTCGTCATCATCCAGTAACTTTCGGCATTCCTTGTTGCTGTGGGACGTAGCTTTTGCTCTTTTTCGTTGTGCTACCCTTTCCCTCTTGGATGTTTCCGAACCTGAGTATTCCAAGCTGGAAGGTTGTTGGTTTGCGCCTCGGAGAAGTGTTGGAGCTAGGTGTCAGGTCGCCGAATGTCTTAGTACTCTTTGTCAGTTTGGTGCCATTTTGTCGCACCCACTGACTGTATATGATCTGGTTACGCTGGTGGACAGTTAGCCAGAACTCGTAATATTTTGTCTACTCGCAAATTCGTTTCACCACTAACCATAACTCTTGTCTACGGTCGATTCATAAAAACTTGCTGGATTCTCATGGGTTTTCCATTTCAGTGCTTCTTGGGGAAAAAACATACTCTAGAACGGCTAATTTTAGCGAGTAATTTTTTTAGCATTTTGTGAATTTAACTTAGAACCTTTCATTTTGGAAGGCTGTTGCAGTGGACATCCAAGACGCGCGAGAGCTGATTGGCAGTTAGTTGTAGAACATCAGTACCGTGCAATGTTATCGCATCAGCTGATTGTCAAGTAACTGGTGGTGTTAGTGGATATTATCGCGTAACTTGTAGTTCCGTGGTCCTTTTTGTTTTGTTTTCTGGAACTGGAGCAATTCGCAATGAAATATTTTTAGCGATCCGAGTTTCAAGAAGGATGATTAATACTGGATTGTACACTCAAAATTTCGATTGGCAAAACTTTAGCGAAAACATTCCTTTCACTATCTCTTAATTTGCTGGCCAAAAATCCTATATATAGGATTTGAAAATGTGTACCTTTTATGCCGTTGTTATTGGTCATCACGGCCAATAATAACGGCATAATGGTTTTCATGGTAGATGTAAATATGTTTGAGGCATGAATGTTTACATTTTAGATTCATAGGGCGATAATATTTCTGATGAATACCCATTTTCAGCAATAATTGGAAATTTAAGCATAATTGTTCAGCTGCTGTCATGGAAAGGACTGAAGCAGTGACTGTGCAGAAGAACATTGCAGGTGTGGCACGGGGTGGTTTCATGACGACATATCGCACATGCCGTCATGAAACTACCAGTTTTAAGGATAAAACAAGGTCCAATAAAATCTCAAATCCTATATATAGGATTCGAAAAATAGGGCACAGGCCTTAGTAATATTGGGCAAGGAGATGAGCCTGAGATGTTAGTGTTTGAAAAAATTATCTTATTCAACTCTCGATATCTACTAAGACCTAGCAAGGAAGAATTGGTCACATACATTTTTCTATTCTCATGCCACACCCATTTTGAGTTGAAAAATATGACCAAAATCCTATATATAGGATTTAGCAAATATCGAATGTTGACAAAACACATAAATCCTTTTGCTTTGCTTCGAATCACCATGTGGAGTTGCCCTTGAACCCATGTCTGAAAAGCTGTTGTGTTGATGTGCTCCTTGCCCGTTTAGAACAACTGTACCCGCTTGTGAAAGGAAAGTGCCCTACGGGTTGGTACCAGTACCGCAATGAGTGCTACTGGTTTGAGTTCACACAGCAAAAGAGCTACACATCGGCTCAAACTGACTGCAAGACACTGAACTCAAATGCAACACTTGCCATAATCCCAGATGATGGGGTTCTGGACTTTTTCCTGCACTACATGTACCAGGTCAGGATGTATTTTGATATTGTTAAAGTGCATTCAATTATCAACTCTCTAGCTTAGGATACACGCAATGCATTGCCTGTGTTCCATGCCGCCTTAACCCTTTGCGTGCTGAGTTCATGCTAACACACGCTTTATGTTTGACCTGATCTACCTTGAACGAGCTATAACACACAGTTTTCGGGCAATGCATGACAGTGCGTATACCAGTGTACCAAAAGCGTTACTCCACAAAGCGTAAAGGCATTGCAACAAGCAATATTTCGTTCAAAGGCCTTGAACTAAGCTCTCAAGGGATGTATCATCAACAGGGCCAGGCTGAATCTAAAAAAAACTTTGTTTTTGATTCTTTTCAGACCTACCCAACATCAAACAAGAATATGTACATTGGCCTGCGGAAGGCAAGAGATTTCAGTGCGTTTGAATGGGAAGACGGTAGCTGCAACAAGTACACGCGCTGGGGATGTGGAGAGCCAAACAACTGGGGAAATGGCGAGAATTGTGGTGTGTTCGGCGTGGGAGACACCAATCACAATTCGGCCAAGATCATCGACGATGACTGCAGCAAGAACCAGCACTTTGTGTGTCAGATGCCTGTTCCTGGAACAACAGGTATGTATGTTGAGAAGATGAGTGGAGCGGAGGCAGGGTGAAAGCAGCTATTTGTTCCTGTTGGGGATATGCAATATCAGGAGAAACGATAGGGTGTCGTTCAAATGTTGACCCAGAGGACATTTGTGTAAAGTCAGATGGATCTGCATCACGCATGCCTGAAAGTTGTGGTTACGTTGCGCCGGAGGGGGGGGGGGGGGGGGGAGGAAGTTGTCCCCTGACATCAGCTGCCGGGATAATGTTTTAGTGCAGTGCTTTAAGTGTGTCCATATCTGTACTTCGGGCATAGTCCTCTGTGTATACCAAGTTTAAATCGCCGTTCTATTTTATGTTTCCAGTTGTGGCTCTGTTATGTTCGCCTCTGCGTTTCCGACTGACACTCTCAAACAACACAAGGAATCCTGGAACAAGCAACTGACTTCTTCATGAAAGTCAAACAAATATCAATGATTTCACGGGCAGGGTTGCCCTGACCCATGGCAAAGTGGGGGTTGCCCTGACCCATGGCAAAGTGGGGGTTGCCCTGACCCATGGCAAAGTGGGGGTTGCCCTGACCCATGGCAATGTGGGGGTTGCCCTGACCCATGGCAATGTGGGGGTTGCCCTGACCCATGGCAAAGTGGGGGTTGCCCTGACCCATGGCAAAGTGGGGGTTGCCCTGACCCATGGCAAAATGGGGGTTGCCCTGACCCATGGCAATGTGGGGGTTGCCCTGACCCATGGCAAAGTGGTTTCCATGGAGTTATGTACACATACACATCAGCTCCAGATCAAGGAGTGTTACTGGGTGTTTTTCATATGCA